GATGAAATATGAGATGACAGACTTGGGTCATCTACATCATTTTCTTGGTATAGGAATGGTTCAAACAAGCTCTAGCATATTCATCCACAAAAAGAAATGTGCAAGCTCTCTATTGAACAAGTTTGGTTTGAATGAGTGCAAGACTGTGACCACACCCCTTGCAGCAACTAAGAAGCTAACTAAAGATGATGGAAGTGGAGCAACAAGTGAGGAGCAATATAGAAGCATTGTAGGTAGCCTCTTGTACCTAACTGCTACTAGACTAGATATTATGCATGCCTCTAGCCTGCTTGCTAGATTCATGCACTGCCCTACAAGTAAGCACTATAGAACTACCAAACGAGTGCTAAGGTATATTAAGGAGACTTTAGACTATGGTCTACAGTATGTGAAAGGAAAAAAATGCAATGCTGATTGGTTTATGTGACAATGATTGGGGTGGACCAATTGAAGATAGTAAGAGCACATCTAGATATGCATTCTCTTTTGGCAGTGGTGTTTTCTCTTGGGCTTCAGTCAAGCAAAATGTGTTGCATTATCTACTGCAGAGGTAGAGTACATCAGTGCATCAGAAGCCACTGCACATGCCATTTGGCTTAGATTTGTGTTAGAAGATTTTGGAGAACTTCAGACAGAAGCAACTCCATTGCAGTGTGACAATACATCTGCAATTGCCATTACTAAGAATCTTGTGTTTCATTAGAAGACAAAGCATATTGATAGAAGGTATCACTTCATCAAACCATTACCCAAGGATCGATTCAATTATCTCAGGAGTACGCTTAGAGTTAAATCAGCTCAAGATTTAAAGGGGAGTATTGATTTATAAACACGTAAGCAGATTTATCAAGTAGTTAAATACAGTTTTTGTTTTAACTCACTTTGTAAGCCAAGTGTAAGCTTTCTATTGGATGACTAAAGGGATGGCTAAGATCTCCTTGATATGTAAGGGATCCAGCTATTAATCCTAACGGTCATATAACCCCTCACACAAAGTGTGTGAGATTGTAAGCGAGAGAGAGAGACTGAATGGAATAGAACATTCCTCTGCTACACGTATAGCAGAGTAATCTTTGCCAAAATCTAAAATGCTCTCATCTTTCTTTTCTTCTTCATCACTCTGCCTCCCAAATACAAGAAAACACTAACACTTCAAAGAGGTAGATTCTTGAAAACCCTTGTTTTCCAACCTGTGACATTTTTCCGCTTCACTTCCCAAATTCTCGAATGAGTAGAATTCTAGAGGACAATTTCCACTGATTTCAATGCAACATACATGGGATCTACTTGTAAATTTGGGAGACAAGCCTTATTGATTTTCCGTTTCGTAACCTGTTATTTCCTCCAAATAAACTTACAAGCCCATGGTTGCAAAATTCTTAATTGCAATATAGATATTTAAGGATTGCTCTTACTTGGTAGTGGAGAGAGCCTAGATTTTACATGTTGTCACGCACTGGTTAGAATATAAAACCCATGTGGAGTTTTTATATTATTAACACACCCTCTCAAATGTGTTCAAGTTGAGCGAGTCATCTGGCCAGCCTAACACATGTTAAAATTGCACATCCAACACATAAGCAATTGGCAAAGGATGCAGGGACCTTGAATTTTAGATTTTGTGATTCAATGTAATCGGGAGCTGCTGCAAGATGATGATGCACATGACCATCATCTGGGGCCACATCGCTGAGGTTCTCTTGGCCGTGACAACCCGGTCATGTACGGTGGTTGTGGGTGGGTACGTTGGTGGTGAGTTTGGGTGGTTATGGATGATGGTGCGGTGGTTGGTTGCAGAGAGATGATGGTGCGATGGTGCGATGGTGCGGTGGTTGATATTTGGGGATAGGGATTGATCGTTGGGAATATGGATTGATTTTGGGGAGAGTTTAGGGATTTTATTTTATTTTTAAAGCATAGAGAAGGAAAAAAATTATTTATTAATTTTCCATTTTATTTATACATTTTTTAATTAAACAAGTAATTATTTTATTTTATTTTATATTTAATTCAATTTAAACAAAACAAAAATGGGACATTCACATGACACATCATCACTTATAGTAAAAAAACTAAAATAACCATGACAAGTCATCAAAACTGACAAAGTTATTAATGGAGATAACGGTGTGGGTAAAGTGATATTTGACCGAAGTTTCAGGTGTACTACAGTAAATAAGTCTCCAGGAAACTACTTACTCAATTTCAATAAATGCATGCATTGAGTTGGGTTAAAAGCAGTTAGTCATGCACTTGAGGTCTTGTGTTTGAATCTCTCCTTCTCTAATATCGTTTGCATAAATAAAAAAAAAGTATATGGTAATAAATTCGGGCATATGTGTAATAGTTATTTTTGTTGATAAACTAGAATATTATTTATTTGACTACCAAGTGCAAAATATTAAAATGTTATTACAGAATATTAAAATGCAAAAGAATTCAACAGAAATAAATGTTTAAAAACAGATGCACAAGAATTCTCTACTGGGAAGACATAGACCCTCTTACTGAGAAGCTAACTAAAGATGATGGAAGTGGAGCAACAAGTAAGGAGCAATATAGAAGCATTGTAGGCAGTCTCTTGTACCTAATTGCTACTATACCAGATATCATGTATGCCTCAAGCCTGCTTGCTAGATTCATGCACTGTCCTACAAGCAAACACTATGGAACTGCTAAACGAGTGCTAAGATATATCAAGGGGAATCTAGACTATGGTTTAGAGTATGTGAAAGGAAAAAATGAAATGTTGATTGGCTTCTATGACAGTGATTGGGGTGGATCAGTTGAGGACAGTAAGAGCACATCTGGATATGCATTCTCCTTTGGCAGTGGTATTTTCTCTTGGGCTTTAGTTAAGCAAAATTGTGTTGCATTGTCTATTGCAGAGGTAGAGTACATTAGCCCATCATAAGCTACTGTACAGGCCATTTGGCTTAGATTTGTGTTAGAAGACTTTAGGGAACTTCAGATAGAAGTAACTCAATTGCAGTGTGACAACACATCTGCAATTGTCATCACTAAGAACCCTGTGTTTCATCAGAAGACAACTGATATTGACAGAATTATTTATCACCTCATCAAAGATGCACTACAAGAAGGCATCATTGATTTGGTGTACTGTCCTACAAGTGAACAACTTGCAGACATTTTCACCAAACAATTGGCTAAAGATCGGTTCAATGATCTTAGGAGTATGCGTGGAGTTAAATCAGCTCAAGACTTAAAGGGGAGTGTTGAATTATAAGCCTTTAAGATGACTTAAGAGTTAGTTAACATAGTTTTCGTTTCTTTAAGTTTTTTAAGCCAAGTGTAAGGATCTCATTGGATGTCTAAATGAATGGCTGAGATCACCTTGTGATGTAAGAGATCCAGCTACTGTGCCTAACGATTATATTCCCTCACTCCAAGTGTGTGAGGTTGTAAGAGAGAGAGACTGAATAGAAATGTGTATTCCTCCGCTACACGTATAGCAGAGCAGTCTTACAATTCTTGTTGCTTCTCCTTTCTTCCCTTATTCGTTATTCTCCATTCACACACTCAAAACACTAACATTCTTAGCATCGGTTTTCATCAATGTATGAATTGAGTATGAGCTTCCCCTTCTGAATGCCAAGAACTAGTTCAAAAAAAGTGTGAAGTCTTACAATTTCAGCTGTAACTTAATTGTTAAATCCAAAGCTTCCATTTCCTTTTTTCATGTTCTCTTGGCCATTAAGTGAGGGAGTATTCTGTTTAGTGTTAGTTGGCTTGTTATGGCATCAAATCTTAAGTAATCTGGACCACACATTCTCATTCTATTCAATGCGAAATACCAGAAGTCCAAAACAAGAGAAATTCTAGACAGTCTCATTTTGTTCCCCCTTTAGTGGGTCCATAAACCCTTCCTTACGCCCGTTTCGCCGACTGCCATATGCCCACATTTTAATCTATTACATAATCGTCTACCATTGTTCATTCACCAACCATATCCATACAACATGTATATAGACAAATTGTTGAAAATATTAGGCTAGCCATTACAATTATCCAATCAAAACTCTACTAAAAACTAACAAAATGGCTGCTTCACATCACATCATCCCATCTACACCGCCCCCGGCGACATTGTTCAACGGCGGCAGTGCTGGAGCTGCTGCAAGATGATGATGCACATGACCATCATCTGGGGCCACATCGCTGAGGTTCTCTTGGCCGTGACAACCCGGTCATGTACGGTGGTTGTGGGTGGGTACGTTGGTGGTGAGTTTGGGTGGTCATGGATGATGGTGCGGTGGTTGGTTGCAGAGAGATGATGGTGCGATGGTGCGGTGGTTGATATTTGGGGATAGGGATTGATCGTTGGGAATATGGATTGATTTTGGGGAGAGTTTAGGGATTTTATTTTATTTTTAAAGCATAGAGAAGGAAAAAAATTATTTATTAATTTTCCATTTTATTTATACATTTTTTAATTAAACAAGTAATTATTTTATTTTATTTTATATTTAATTCAATTTAAACAAAACAAAAATGGGACATTCACATGACACATCATCACTTATAGTAAAAAAACTAAAATAACCATGACAAGTCATCAAAACTGACAAAGTTATTAATGGAGATAACGGTGTGGGTAAAGTGATATTTGACCGAAGTTTCAGGTGTACTACAGTAAATAAGTCTCCAGGAAACTACTTACTCAATTTCAATAAATGCATGCATTGAGTTGGGTTAAGAGCAGTTAGCCATACACTTGAGGTCTTGTGTTTGAATCTCTCCTTCTCTAATATCGTTTGCATAAATAAAAAACGTATATGGTAATAAATTCGGGCATATGTGCAATAGTTATTTTGGTTGATAAACTAGAATATTATTTATTTGACTACCAAGTGTAAAATATTAAAATGTTATTACAGAATATTAAAATGCAAAAGAATTCAACAGAAATAAATGTTTAAAAAGAGATGCACAAGAATTCTACTGGGAAGACATAGACCCTCTTAACCTTAGTTCTCTCTCTATTTTTCTTTTGAAAAATTCCAAAGATGAGAAGAGAAGTCACTGTTACTCAGCAGGCCTTCGTCTGCAGAATTTACACCAGTTCCTGTGTTTTGGGCTATATTTTCAACCCAAAAGTTTGCGAAGAAATCTTCCTCCAACTGAAAACCAGAACACATTGCTCTTTCAACACTGTTCGTATCAGCTAACTGGCTTTTCCACTCATCAATTCCATTTTCTATAGGCGGTGATGATGGCAATGGCCAGTTAAAATTCTCTTTTAATTGAATATACTGTAAAGTTGGAGCTGGGCTGCTCAAACGATATGACTTTTTGGAGAAGGTTCGTGGTTGAGGCCTTAATATTACTGTCTTTGTTGTTTCTAGGGTTTTATCATTTTCGGCCCTAGAAGACTTATTTTTCCTTAGTCGGGTACTCCAGTAGTTTTTCACATCGTTTGATGTTCTTCCCGGAAGTCTTCCGGCAATCAACGACCACCTAAATGATGTGCATACATTAAGAAAAAGGATTTGTTAGAAATTATATTATTTAGACATTTTTTAAAAATACATCATATTAGAACAAGTGAATTTGGAAAGAACAAAAAGTCATAAAAGGAAAGGGATTAGATTGCAATGTTTTGTTTGTTCATGTCTAAGGGCTCGTTTGGGACTGCTTCTTTAGAAAGTACTTCTGCTCATAAGTGTTTTTAGCTCATAAGTGCTTTTATTATAAAGAGGTTGAAATTTTCATAAGAAATTCAAGTGTTTTCAGAAGAAGCACATAACAGGTGCTTCTCCAGAAAGTACTTCTATATATAACCTATAAGCACTTCTAAACTTTTTTGCCAAATGCTATTAGAAGCGTTTTTTTGTTGTAAGAAAGAACAGTCAAATAAAAAATTGCATATGCTAGTTATATATTGAATGGTTCGAAGATTGATACTATTAATTAATAAGAACTTGAAAATTTGTTACATCATATCTAGAAAACGTAGAAATTTGATTTGTGAAATTTCCCAAATAAGAGTTGTGTGCTATCCTATTGAAGGGCTTGCCATGGTTAAAAAATGAGCATTTTTCCTCACATCATTAACCAAAGTTGTATGTTCACCACCATTTTTAAAGGATGACATTTGTCCTATCGTTAACCTTGGTTAACTTTTATGTGAGAATTAAAGAAAAAATTGATAAAGGGCCCAGAGCACACATCCCAATTCTCTCTCCCCTTTTTTTCTCCATTCCCCCTCCCTCCCTCTATTCTTCCACGCAACTCTCTCCCTCACTCTGTAACAAGCTATCAGATTTGATAATAATAAATGCTACATTTACCATATTTTTATCCCACATGATGTGGCATGTCCATATTATATGTCACATCAATTAAATCAATAAAGTGTATTTTAATTAAAAAAAAAGTTTAATTAACAGTTTTTTTAAAGTGGTTAACAAATCATAAAAGAAAAGAAAATGTTAAATAATTTTAATTGATGTGGTTGTCCACCTCATTTGCCACATAATATGGTAAAAGTAACATTATTCATAATAAATATCTTATTAAGTACCATGGAATCAAAATCTAGTCCACTACATACTAATCCCTTGTATGCTACTATAATATAGACCTTTTCTATTTAAACCCCGTACTTCTCTATGTTCACTCCATATTCTAAGTTTAGCTCAACTTCTAATTCAAATTTTGACAATTTCTAAGAAAACCTCACTATCTTCCCAAACTATCCCTAAATACACACCTAGCAGAAAAAATAAAATGAAAAACTCATCAACCTCACACCCCACACCCTACAACCGGTTATCTTGCCCCTTACCACTCTAAGTTCACCTTAACCTCACAGATAAAAATACGGTTGTCAAATGTCTAACAGTATTATTTTATTACCATTATTATTATTAAAAATTTGAGAATAAAATAGGAGATTTTGATAGAGAAATGTTGACAGTTAAATTAATATGTAAGTTACCATTATCAAACAAAATGGCATCCTAAAAGAAAATTTAGTCAGAGATATGTCTACGATGATTGTAGCCTTCAATTGACATATTCTTATTTCAAGTTTGGTTTGGAGGCTTTACTTAATGCGAAACCAATTAAAGCTATTTTCCTTGGTGTCCGAATTGGTGATCCTATTGCAGTATTTTGATTTTCCATATTGGCAAAATCATAATCAGACATATCTCTGGTAATAGGGTGTAGAAAAGTTTGTGTTTTTCTAAACTTAATATGAAGAGTGGTGGGGTGTGTGTATAGATTAACTAGAGTTAAGTATTAAGTTGGATTACATTTTTTGTCTTGTTACATAATAATAAAACTTAAGAGCTTAATGATTTAAGTATTGCGGTGAACAAAGAAAAGTATGGGATTTAAATAGAAAAACTCTATATATATCATATTGAGTAAATAACATAATTTGTCATATTACTTTTCCTTCTGGCTGTGGTATTCTTTTTTCTTTCTTTTTTTCATTTTGATATTACTATTGAAGATTTATATGGTTGGGTTATGTATTAATTTGGCTGTGTTTTATAGGATGAGTAACAAGTACTTAGATTTAACTGCAAAGTACAAACATGTCGAACAAAAAGAACAGAAAGTCCTTCATTCCTAGCAAGTTAGCTACGAAAGAGAAGTTCAGATTGTACTTGCCTGTTCCCTAAAAGCTTTCGAAGCCTAACCATTAGATCCACTTCATCTTCTGTAAAATCTCCTCTTTTGATATTTGGGCTCAAGTAGTTCAACCACCTCAGTCTACAGCTTTTCCTGCACCTATTCAAGCCTGCATGTATAATTCATAAAACTTACACATAAAATCTTCCTACATTCTCCACAAAAAACAATTTAGGGCATATTTGATAACCATTTTTATTTTATTTTTTATTTTTTATTTTTTGTGCTAGAAAATAGAGGAAAATAAGAGTGAGAATGGGAGTCAAGATGAGATTGAGAGATAGAATGATAAGGAGGAGTCACAAAAGTGAAAACAATTTCAAAAAGATTTCAGTTTTTAGTTATTGTTTTCACTTTTGTTTACTCATCCATCCCATCCTCCACCCTCGTGTTCCCTCTCAATCTCATCTCCACTCTTATTCTCACTTTTATTCTCCCTCTTCTTTCGCTATACCCTAGCACAAAAAATAAAAAATAAAAAATAAAAACAAAAATTGAAATGATTATCAAACGAGCCCCTTAGTTTCTTTCTTGAGTAAGTCCGGTTATAAGTATAGATATAAATTTAGCTAAAAAAATTACTTGCCTCCTTACTCTGACTCGCTCCTACAATCGAATAAATAAATTACACTTTGTCACGTCGTGCATACAGAAAAAGACCAAGCAAGCAGTGTTTCCAACTAATAATAATAATACCTGCTTTGAGAGAAACCTGATGCCATTTGCCTTCACCGTACTGTTGAATGTATTGCCTGAGAAGTTCATCTTCCTCTCTAGTCCATGTACCTTTTCTCACTCTCAACAAATTATTACCCTCCATTTCGTGGGGATACGTCGTACACACTTCTTGAAGCCTCCAGACACCACTTGTCTGAAGGGTCTCAATATGATATGCAGACAAAGGTATCTATATATAAATACTCTTGCGTACGTGCATCTCTGCCCTCCATACAAAGGGAAGACAAAAGGTATAACATTTCTCCTTTTCTTTTTCTTTCTTTCTCGGGTGTAATTTTTTTTTTAATTAATAAAAGAGATAAGTTTTGTGTGATCCACAATTACAATTAGACGAAAATAATTGACGTAAAATCCTCATAAATATATACAAACAATGGCGGACTTAGAGAATTTTCAGAGAATGGGCAATTTTTAAAAGACTAAAAATTTGAAAACAAAATTTAGACAACTATTATCTTTAGAATTTAAACAATACTAATGTCACTCATAATTGATGAAAAAAATAACAGTACAAACAAAACATGGAAACCTATTTGAGACATTTAGTTGAATACATAGCAGGCGCTAGCTAAAATTTTAAACGGTGAGGAGTATGTTTTTTGAGGCATCAATTGTTTTGACAAGAAAAATTTATAAATTTACTAATTAATATTGACCCATAATAATGAGTATAATGTAATTAGATATACGTACTTATTCATCTAAGCAGAATAAGCAATCCCAAAATATAAAAGTGAGAAATAATAACCTGTAAAAGCCACAAGAAATATTACCTCATAAAATATATCTTCAAGACTAACCCATCAACACTTAAATTTGCAATGAAGAAATCTTCGAGAGATTTGGGTTGTGGGTTTTCTAGATGGAAGGGAATCCTAATTTGCTCACATGGTTAATTGATTATGGGATAATTAAAACGTTTTTTAAGCTGGAGAATAATAAGATGGTTAAAGTGGTAATTTGCCGAAAGTCAGAATTGCATCAATCAATACTCCCCGTTTCATTAAACACCTTTTGAGCTGGAGGATAACAAAGACGACGTCGTTTGCGCTGCCAAAAATTGAAACAGAAAGCCCAAGTCATCTTCCTCGTTTTGAAACCCCCTGCAACACACCTTAGATGCAGAACCTTGGGACCAGCAGAGGTACATAATCCAGCCTTTTCACAGGATTTAAGGCAAGGGGAGGTGCAACTGCTCCTCCTTGTGCCTCTATAGGTCCGCCTCTGTATACAAAGTTCAGATATTCAATTAGATTTATTAAATATATGTGAGTAATAAGTAAAAATGACCATTTTATTTGTTCAACCTAATAATGATGATTGTGATTGGTCATATAGATGTCGATTTCTTTGGCTGGGTGTAAAGTTGTACTGTTGTACATTTCTGATTTGATAATATTTTGAAAACAAAACTACAAATAAATAAGGAGAAAAATAAAAATAATAAATCGTTTTCAAAAATGATTGTAAAATCACTTACGATCGGTCATCTTCTCGCAAACGACAGAAAATCTTCATTTCCTCCACAATTCCCAAATAAGCACCACATGTATTGCTTATGAAGAGAGATTCTATTAAATTCATTCTAATTCTGTCCAAAACACCCATGCACATCAATGACACATACTTACTCCGTCATGAAATTAAACAGGATTTTGCACGTGTCCTTGAATTGTAAGAATATCAAACAATTTAAGGATATCAAATTATGTAAGTCAAATTATCATAACTGAAC